AGCCACACCAAACTTCTAATGCCAGAAACTAAGAGATATAAGCAGAATGTAAAAAATAAATAAATAATTGAGGTTTTTCAAGACAACAAATGCCAATTTTAAAGTGGCTAAGATTGCCTCAGTTCACTCTATACAATCCCTCCTAATATTATTTTTTAACAAATAAATATTCAGTATAAATATGCCCTCATCTGAAGCTAAGCAGTAAGAAAGGAATTAGCACAGGAACTGTATATGCATACATAATAGGAAAATGAGATATTAAAGACACAGATCACACAATAAAAAATTGTTAATGATTTCCTCCCTTGCTCAAGGAAGCAAAGGAAGAGTTTAGACAAATATTTCTTCTCAGTCTCAAATAAAAATAATATGATCTCTGTGAGGGAGAAAAAAAAGAACTCAAAGAAAAGATAAAGAGATCAAAGAAGAGATAAGGCAAAAGTAGTTGAAAAGTGAGCTGGCGGACCTCAGGAAAGAAATGGAAGAAGGAAAAGCAAGCCGTTACATAGATAAAACTCTCATTAGGTGTAGAAAAAAAAAATTGTTTTAACAACTGACACTAGGGCATAGAGAGAGGATTGAGTAAATCATTTAAAAACAAATGGTAAAGCCCTGGCTGGTTTGGCTCAGGGGTTAGAGCGTTGGCCTGCGGTCCAGAGAGACCCGGATTCGATTCCCACTAAGGGCGTGTACCTCAGTTGCAGTTTGTCCCAGGCCCTGGTTGGTTGCGCAGGTGGCAGCCACTCGATGTGTCCCCTTCACATCAATGTTTCTCTCTCTCTCTCTCTTCCTCTCTCTCCTTCCCACTCTACCTGAACAAAAAATGTCCTTGGGTGAGGATTAAAAAAAAAGAAAGAAAGAAAGAAATGGTAAAAATGAACATAAAGCATTGGATAGTAAACTGATAATTAGAAAAACAATGGAGATGCAACATTTATAATTCCTGATTCTGAAGAAGAGAATTTTTTAAATGAACCTCCCCAGAAAATTATGTATATATAACACAAGAAAGTAATTCATGTCCCCAGGAAAAGGTAAAATGTAAATAGTAATGCTAAAATATATCCTGATAAACTTTGTACTTTAAAAGTTTATAAGTAAAAACAAAAAATTATCTGCAAAGTTGGAAATGAAAGGGCTTGTTGCTGGCCTCAGCCTTTGCCTCAACATTAAATGCCTGGAGAAAAGTACGGCGAACTCTAAAATCCTGAATGTGATCCAATAATGCTATACTCAGCCAAGTTGTCCTTCAAGTATAAAAACAACAAAGTCTAAACATATAAAAATACATAAACATACCAATAATAAGGAAGCTTGCGTCTAAGAAAACAATACCTTAAGATAATATCCAGCTAAGCAAGGGATGAATCTAAGGAAGTTAATGCTAAAAGGTGAGCACAGTGAACTTCATATCCATGGACACTAGGTTGAGAACTCTCTTTGAAAAAAACCCTGAGGCTGGAAAAAAAAGATCTGAGATGGGCATATAATCTCATTCAATCTGCATTTATTGAATTCTACTATGTGTCAGGTTTTTCCACTGATGTCATAACTAACATATATAACTCAACCCTGTGGGATAAATATCATATTCTATTTTTTTAAATGAGGAATCTGAAGTTTAAAGTCATACAGCTGTTAAGTGTGGGAATCTGAACATAAATCCAAGTCTTCTGAATTCAAAACCCATTCTCTAAATTGTCCTTCAAAGCTTCGACACAAACCACTGAAGATTGGAGGGGTGGGGAGTGTGGGCAGGGAGGGCTTACATGGTAACTAAATCCATCTCCTCCTTATATACACTATTCATGAGTACTTACACTTAAATCAGATCCACTCTCAGCCTTAATCTTTCCCAACCAAAAAGTTATGTTTTTAGTCTATATTGATATGAATTCACTCACACTTCCTAATGATTTTCTGGATTTCTTCTGTTTCTGTTTCTTTCTGGAAATGTTTTTGGGTTTTTTTAAACCTGGGTTTCCAGTCTGACTACTATATTGTTTTGCTTAAGGACCAGATTCTGCTGTATTCTGTTTCTAATACTTTTCCTGATAATATCCCATATTTTTTCTTATTTTTTGGCACATACACACAGAAACCTCTAAAATAATTCTGCTTATTTTAAGTAATAAATAAAAGTTAAAGTTTCACCCTGGCTGGTTTGGCTCAGCGGTTAGAGCGTCGGCCTGCGGTACAGAGAGACCCGGGTTCGGTTCCCGCTAGGGGCACGTACCTCGGTTGCAGTTTGTCCCCGGCCCTGGTTGGTCGTGCGGGTGGCAACCACTCGATGTGTCCCTTCACATCGATGTTTCTCTCTCTCTCTCTTCCTCTCTCTCCCTCCCGCTCTGTCTGAACAAAAAATGCAAAAATGTCCTCGGGTGAGGATAAAAAAAAAAAAAGTTAAAGTTTCATTGTCTTTGTATTAAACACGAAGAAAAATGGGAATAATCTTCAGTTTGGGCAAATAGATATTTTTTGCCATTTTCTTTCTATTTACCTGTCTTTGATATTTTTTAATATTATCCATTCTTGGTTAGCATTTTACTATCTGAAAAGGCTTGGAATAGACTTCCTATTCCAAGGAAACAACAGATTTTCCTGTACACTCCCTCTTCAAATTGATAAATAAAAAGTGGTAAGTGAACTAATCTCCCAGGAACCCTCTGTTAACACTACTCTATTCAGGAAAGAATCTGTTCATCCAATTAATTTTTTTTTTATCCTAAGTATGTTAAAAATAATAATAATAAAGCAAAGCTAACTAACTGGCTCATAATCCCATGACCTGAATCTCATCTGCACTGAACTCTAAATTCAATTATCCAGAACCAGAAAATGTTACTCAGTTCTGTAAAAATCATTCAATCCTGGTGCCTAATGTAAAATTATATCTAGTAGTACTCTAGGTCACTTAATAATAAAGGAAACTGTGGGTTTCTATAGTCTCCTTTGCAAATCTCAATTACTTAGTCTTACTTAGAACATATCCACTATATCATAATTCAAAAAAAAAAAAAATTAAACAACATATAGTCCTGAGTAACTTAGTGAAATTACTCTATAAAACCAGACTTAAACATAATATATCTTAATATATATGTCTAAATAAAATGAAGTCTCAAGATCAATTTCTGGTCTCAATGAGACAAAGGTAGGGTTCAAAAATGTCCTCTCTAGCCTGGCCAGGTGGCTCAGTTGGTTGAATGTCATCCCATGCACCAAAAGGGTTTCGGGTTCAATCCCTAGTCAGGGCACATACCTAGGTTGCGGGTTCAATCACTCCCGGTCAGGGCATGTACAGGAGGAGACTGATACAGGAGATCGATGTTTCTCTTGCACATCAATTTTTCTTTCTCAGTCCCTCTCTCTCTCTCTCTTTCTCTCAAATCAATAAAAATATACTTGGATGAGGATAAAAGAATAATAATTAAAATGTCCTTTCTTTTATAACATGATATAGCAATATTTTTAGTGTCAGGCATACAATGCTATGTGAATTACCAAGATCTTAAAACAAATTCACAATGTGTAATCACCCTTCACAGGTGAGGTATTATTCTGTTTATTCTATGGAGAAATATTTTAGTTTAAAATAAATGTTGAAGGTTTGGGAGATTGCTACAATAAGGACAAAACAAGGAAAAGAGAACATTTCATCATGTTCCGCATAATACAAGTACAATATGAATTCCTGATAGTGGATTTCATTTAATATTGATGCCCATGTCATCAAAAAATACTTAGACATAAAATTACATAGTCATCAATTTAAAACATGGCACTTAGCATATTGATTATATTCTTTCAGCAAAAAAATCATAAAAATGTTCAACATAAATTAAAAGTATATAACGTCAGTACCTTGCAGTGGAAACACAATATTTAAAACTAAATGAATATATCTTTAATATTTATAGAATAATTTAATCTGTGAGACTAAGATGCTATGTGACTATGATGGCTGAAAAATTGTATATCCCTTAAAATTAGGTAAGATAGAAGATGAAGAGAAAGTTCAATGAAGAGGATTAAAACCAACAAACTTTTTTTTTCTTTTGACTTTTAGAAATGTATATTCTCTCCTTTTTAGATTAATGTTTGTTTAATTTATTGGGGTGACATTGGTTAATAAAATTTTATAAGTTTCAGGGATACGATTCTATAATACATCATCTGTATATTGCATTGTGTGTTCACCACCCAAATCAAGTCTTTTTTTCATCACCATTTATTCCCTCTGTGCCCTCTTCTACCCGCTCCCACCACCCTCCCTTCCCTCCGCCAATCACCATACGGTCGTCTGTGTCCATGAGTCTTTCTTTTCTTTGCTTAACCCCTTCACCCTTCTCACCCAGCTCCCCAACCTCCTCCCCTGTGACAACTGTCAGTCTGCCTTCTGTATCCATGAGTCTGTCTCCACTTTGTTATTTTATTTTGTTCATTAGATTCCAAATATAAGTGAGATCATATGGTACTTGTGTTTCTCTAATTGGCTTATTTCACTTAGCATAATATTCTCCAGGTCCATCCACGCAACCCCAAAAGGTAAGATTTCCTTCTTTTTTTTTTTTTTAAATGGCTGAGCAGTATTCCATTGTGTAAAAAAATGTACCACAGCTTTTTTATCCACTCATCCACTGTTAAGCACTTAGGCTGCTTCCAAAGCTTGGCTATTGTAAATAACAGTGCAATGAACATAGGGGTGCATATATTAGTTTCAGGTTTCCTTGGATATGTTCCCAGAAGTGGAATCACTGGGTCATAAGGCAGTTCCATTTTTAATTTTTGAGGTAACTCCATACTGCTTTCCACAGTGGCTGCACCAATCTGCATTCCCACCAACAGCACACAAGGGTTCCTTTTTCTCCACATTCTCGCCAATACTTACCTGGTTGTTGATTTATTGATGATAGCCATTCTGACAGGTGTGTGGTGATATCTCATTGTGTTTTAATTTGCATTTCTCTGTTGAGCATCCTTTCATATGTCTATATAATACAGTAATTTTGAAAATGATGGGAGTTGTCTGTATATTGCAGAGCAGTATATTAGTTAGTACATTACTTCTTTAGTTTTGAGACTCTGATATTTGCTCACTGAATATATCATCACTAGGAGCTTCCTAAAAATTAATATGTAAAAGAACATTATGCAAGCAATTGTTTGAACTGTTAAGTTAAAAACTGAATAACAAAAAATCTCCCAGAATAAAGCTGTCCCACAGAATTTAGCAAAATAAATTTACCAAGAATTGTAATTCCAGTTATTTATGAAACAGAAAATCAAGAAAACCTCAGAATCAGTTATGCAACTCCATTTAAATTCAGTTGAACTAAAATATAAATATTATCCAATCCTATTATAACATGAACAAAAACACTCATTTCTAAAGTAACCTCAAGTGCTCTGCACCATTAAAATTCAAAAGTTTATTCAACAAACATTTTATTTTAACTATGATCAATTCAGTGGAATACTTTTCTTCATCATCAGGGACCAGTAATTGGTAAATGATGACAAATATTTATATTACCCATAGTTAGTCTACTAACTCCACTTCTGAAAAGTTATAGTATTTTATTTCCAAATCAAGAGGAGGCTACACACAAATAGAAATACACTATTGTAAGAAAACTTTTTGAAAATTAGGTAGAAATATTAATTGAGCACCTACTAATGTGCCAGGCAATGTCTATTATTAAGGAACTCTTCATCTCAAAGCATTTTTTTAGTAATGTATTCCTCCATACTAACCTAGGAAGTGATTTTAACTAGTTACAATTGGATGAACATGCAACTTTCTAGGAATACATTTTTGGTGTGTAGATCAATATATACCAGCATGTAGTTTTTCCCAAAGTTTATCTATAATATCACTCTTAGAATTTAACAATATCAAAATGTTGAACCTCTATTTAAAATGTGAGTGGCTATGATATACATCTTTTCATTTATAACTCAAAAAAAAAATATCAGCTTAATTTCCTTTTAGTTCTGACATCGTAGATCTAAGAGGGAAAAGTCTGCTAGTTAACATACAATTTGCACAGAACCAAAACACTTGTTGAGTTCTATATTACTAGCCAAAATCTAGCTTCTGTCTTCAACTCTTCATGCTAATAATATTCAAAATTAGAACATCCCGGCAAAATTTGATATTAAATTAGATAAATATTTTTATAGCTTTAAATCTCATTATCTAACCCCCCCATGTCTCCTCATATGCTAATAAAAATAATGCTTATGATTAAGATAATAACAATGGTTCACACTTATATAGCACTTACTATCTGCCTGGCATTGTATGAAACATATTAGATATACCACCCTAAATATGTCATATTACATATATCAAACATCTATATTATTATTTTCTTCATTTCAGACATGAATAAATTGAAGCATAGAGAGTTTAAGATCATATCTTCCCTTCCATTTATCACACACAGCTTTCATCTACTCCATTAGAATGCTATGTTTTTAAAGTTGAAATTTGTTTTAACACTGTAGACATTTACTATGTCATTAGGCTAGTATTTACTATAAAATGGTACAAAAAAATTCTCATTAATAAATAACTAGCATTAAGGATATATGCAACTTCTAATATAAATTTATTAAAGAAGCTTCCTAAATTTATCCAGGAACTACATGAGAATTAAGATGTTCTTGTCTTCATTTTACATTAATGAAAGTTCAATTTGACACAGTGATTCACAGCTTCTACATCTGACAATGGTAGAATAGCAAGAACTGGATTTACCTTCGTCTTTAAATAACTAGAAAACAAAATATATGAAACTATGATTTTCAGAAACTGAGCAATAAGTAGTGTAGGCCTATGAACCCTGAGAAAATGGAAATAAATTAGGTGAGCCTACAATTGTTCCTGGAGTCTTTGGGCCACAGTACTGACAGGGGATGACAAACAGAACCCAGAAGTCTAGCTGAATTGAAGAAACAGAGAATATCAGAGAGACCAAGAAGGCTAGAATTAACAGGGAGGAATGCTTAAAAAATAGACCAATGCTTGCCTGCTGGTGTGGCTTGGTGGGTTGAGCATCATCCCACGCAACAAGAGGTCATGGATTTGATTCCAGGTCAGGGGACATGTCCCAGTTGCCACTGGATCCCCAGTAGGGAAGTGCAGGAGGCAGCAGTTGATGTTTCCCTCTCTCTCTCTTCCTCTCCCTTTCTCTCTCTCTAAAAATCAATAAAAACTTTTTTAAAAAATGTTGTGCAGAGAAAGTGATTCAGAGATGTGCAGAGAGGCCCCATTCAGTCTTAGACTGAATAGAGATCTGCACATAAGAGAAAATCACCCTACTCTAAAAAAATAACTACTGGAAAGAAATACATTGAAAAATCTATGGAGCCTACACAGGGTTGAGAATAGTTCCTATTGCCACCAGCCGCATTTTAAAAAAATACTGAAACCTCATAATACATATAAAATGAGTCAGCAAAAACATCTCATCAAGTAGTGGGCCTAAATTATTCCTAGTATTTGCTGCCTCACTTAAAAAGCTTAAAAGTAAGCCTCACTTAACTATTCCAAGTAACTCTGTGTACCAGGCACATCACAGAGTAAAACAAAAGGTATAGGCCTTATAAAACATTACCAAAAGAGATTTAAAAGGACCCAAATAAATAGAAAGACATCCTGTGTTCATAGATTGTAAGACTTAATATTGTTAAGACTGCAATTCCCCAAATAAACCTATAGATTCTATACAATCCCTATTTAAATCCAATGGTCTTTTTTGCAGAAAAGAAAAAATGGATCTTAAAATGTATATGAAACTGCAAGGAACCCTGAATATCCAAAATAATCTTGAAAAACAAGAACTAAGTTGGAGGGCTCACAATTTTCTATTTCAACATTTACTACAAAGTTATAGGAATCACAACAATGTGGTACTGGCATAAGGAGAGATAAATAAATGAAATAAAAAATGAGAGCCTAGAAATAAACTTATATATGAACAAACAAAATGGCAATAAATACATAACTATTGGTAATTGACTTTACAAACAAAATGAACATGCAGAACAGAAACAGTCTCATAGACACACAGATGTTCCTCCTTTTGCCCCAATTGACCCCCTCCTTCCTGCTCCCGCCCCGCTCCTGCCTTTCCCCACAAAACATAAAGACCTTTAACAACTTAAAATGAAAAGGTAAACCAATTTTAGAATGAGCAAAAAATTTGAATGGATATTTCCCAAAGAATTTATACAAATACCACTAGGCACATAAAAAGATGCTCAACATCATCATTCATTAGAAAAATATTAAAACAGCAATTAAAAATGTGCTTCACATGTTCATGGATTGAAAGAATTAATATCATTAAAATGTACATGTTACCCAAAGCAATCTATAGATTCAGTGCAATTTCTATTTAAATATCAATGGCATATTTCACAGATCTAGAATAAATATTCCAAAAATTTACATGGAACAACAAAACTAATAGCTTTAGCAATCTTGTGAAAGAAGAAGGAAGTTGGAGGAATCACAATACCCGATTTCAAACTACACTACAAAGCCATTGTAATTAAAGCAGCCTGGTACTGGCATAAGAACAGACATATAGCTCGGCTGGTGTGGCTCAGTGGATTGAGTGTCATCCCATGGACTGAGAGGTCCTGGTTCAATTCTTGTTCAGGGCACATGCCCAGGTTGCGGGCTCAGTCCCCACTAGGGGGTTTGTAGGAGGCAGCCAATCAATTTTCTCACACATCAATGTTTCTATCTCTCTCTCCCTTCCTCTCTCTCTAAAAAAATCAATAAAGACATTTTTAAAAAGAAGAACAGGCATGTAGATCAATGGAACAAAAGAGAAAGCCCAGAAATAAACCCATGCCTTTATGGTCAATTAGTATTTGACAAAGGAGGCAAGAGGATACAATGGAATAAAGTCAGTCACTTCAATAAATGGTGTTGGGAAAATTGGACAGAAATATGCAAAAAAAAATGAAACTAGACCACCTTATACCATACACAAGAATACTAATGAGATAAACCAAAGAACGTATATGCATGTATGTGTAACCAATGGACATAGACAACAATGCTGGCGGGGTGGGGGCAGGATTGAAAGGAGGGTGTCTAGAGCGGGGAAAGGAGAAACATCTGTAACAAAAATAAAATAATTTTTTAAAAAAGAATAAACTAAAAATGAATTAAAGACTTAAATTTAGACTCAAACCCATAATAATCCTAGAAGAAAACAGAGACAGTAAAGTCTCTGACATTTTTCATAGCAATATTTGTTCTAATATATCTCCTTGGGCAAGGGAAACAAAAGAAAAATAAACAAATAAAACTACATTCAACTAAAAAGTATTTGCACAGCAAAGGAAACCATCAACAAAATGAAAAGGGAACCCACTGAAAGGGAGAACAAATTTGCCAAGGATACATCTGATAAGGAGTTAATTTCTGAAATATATAAAGAACTTGTACAACTCAAAACCAGGAAGACAAACAATCCAATTTAAAAATGGGCAAAGGACCTAAATAGACATTTCTCCAAAGAGGACATACAGATGGCCAATAGACATATAAAAAATGCTCAAAATCACTAATAATCAGAGAGATGCAAATTAAAACCACAACAAGATATCACTTCACACCTGCCAGAATGACTATCATCAATAAATCAACAAAGAAGTGCTGACAAGGAGGTGGAGAAAAGGGAACCGTTGTGCACTGTGGGAGGGAATATAGATTGGTGCAACCATTGTGGAAAGCAGTATGAAATTACCTCAAAAAATTAAAAATGGCTCCCCTGGCCCGTTTGGCTCAGCAGTTATAGCATCGGCCTGCAGTCCAGAGAGACCTAGGTTCGGTTCCCACTAAGGGCATATACCTCAGTTGCAGTTTGTCCCCGACCCTGGCTGGGTCATGCAGGTGGCAACCACTCGAAGTGTCCCTTTCACGTTGATGTTTCTCTCTCTTTCTCTCCCTCCCACTCTATCTGAACAAAATATCAAAAAATGTCCTTGGGTGAGGAAATAAATAAATAAATAAATAAATAAATAAATGAATGAATGAATGAATGAATGAATGAATGAATAAAGGAACTGCCTTTTGACCCAGTAATCCTACTTCTG